AACGCTGGTGAGAAATGTGGAGACAAGGGAACCCTCATACAGTGTTGGTGGCAATGGAAATTAGTACACCCACTATGGAGAACAGTTTAATCACGAGCATAATCATAGCTCGCTGCAGACTCAAACTCTTGGGCTCAAGCAATCCTCCACTTCAGCCTCCTGAGTAGTAACCCCACAACACCCGATTAATTTTTATTTTTATTTATTTTATTTTTTTGAGATGAAGTCTCACTCTGTCCCCCAGGCTGGAGTGCAGTGATGGGATCTCGGCTCACTGCAAGCTCCGCCTCCCAGGTTCGGGCCATTCTCCTGCCTCAGCCTCCTGAGTAGCTGGGACTACAGGCGCCTGCCACCACGCCCGGCTAATTTTTTTTTTGTATTTTTAGTAGAGACAGGGTTTCACCGTGTTAGACAAGATGATGTCGATCTCTTGACCTCGTGATCTGCCTGCCTCAGTCTCCCAAAGTGCTGGGATTACAGGCGTGAGCCACCGTACCCGGCCTAATTTTTATTTTTATTTTTGTAGAGATGGGGTCTTACATGTTGCCCAGGCTGGTCTTGAACTCCTGGCTTCAGGTGATCCCCCTGCCTCAGCCTCCCAAAGTTCTGGTATTGCAGGCATGAGCCACCACACCTGGCCATTTTTTTCTTATTTTGTAGTAATATTTTAAAGTAAATACCTGTCGTCATGTCATTTGACCTGTTTCCATTTTTATCTCTAAATACAAAGGCACTTTCTTATATAATCACAATAAAATGATCATAACCATCCAAATTAACAATTCCTGAGTGTCATCTAATATCCAACATATTTAATTTCCTCTGATACTCTGAAATAAAAACTTTTTACAATTGGTTGGTTCAAATAAAAAACCAAAAAAGGTCTAACTTTGATAATGAGAAGAAAACTCTTTCATAAACAAACAACAAAAAATTCCTATAACATAATTAGTTTTGTCTTCACTCTTCTTTATGCCTTGGTTAATGTGAAATGTTTTCCGTATTTTCAAACTGCTACAAAATAAAACTTCATATTCACAACCCTTAAATAATGACTGACACACTTTTCCATGTTTTCTGCTAAAATAAGAAAATGCAGATTGAAAAGTTCAACACAGCCCTCACACCTCAGGAAAAAAAATCTTCAAGTTCTTTTTGAAAGAAAAACCAAGATAGCAATTTTTAAATGTCATTTATGACTGGGCTAATTACAAGAACAATACTTTCCACCACGGGAAGTTTAAAGCTAAAAGTGCAACGTTGAGCTGAACAAAAACTCAAGTTGCTGAATGTGAAATGGTTCTAAGGATATGCATGCAGAGTGAGTTAACAGACCCTTAAAACTTTATAATAACATCTTATTCACATCTGAAACTGCTGTGACACATTTACCACAAATCAGTATTTAAATGGGTCTAGCTGTGAGATTTTTTTTCCCTGACTTCACTGATTAGGTGGGAGTAACGTAGTTTGGTCTTCTAAATCCACAATCTCAACCTTCCTCTTTATGATGTGCCTCTGTGTCCTCTACACAAAAATTTGTATTTCTTGGATAAAATATCTTAAAAATCCAAATTTCTCAACTGAAGAAATCCATGGAAACTTTTCACATTATTTTTCAAAATGTTCAAAATTTGAGGATAATACTTACACATTATGAGCTCATAAATGTCAAGCTAATTTAAAACTACTACAAAGCTGGAATGGCAATTATATACTTACACTTTACTCAACTTTTCAAGTACGATGCGTTTTCTAATCTGGTTCTGGGAACTTGAGTCTATCAGTGGAAAGGTGGAATCATGCTGAATCACATTTTTAAACAAAGCAAAACAGAATCATAAGTTTACATTCTTTCTTTGATAAGTAGAATAATAAACATTAAAACACAAAAGTTTATATCTGTGGCATAGTAGGAAAATAACTAGACTTGAGAATTAGATTTAAATTTGAGTATCAACTCAGTTGTTAGGCTGTTGTGAACTTGCTTGAGTCATTTGCCCTCTTTGGATAGTTAGTTTTCTCATCTTTGTAAGTGAGATATTAATACCTCCTTTATTAAATGATAAAATGTATACAAAAAGATTTTGTAAACTGCTAAGTGCTGTACAAATGTAGTGGATTAAAATATTAAAATTAGCAAATACTATAAATATATTATGAGGAGTTCTGTCATTATGTCATTTGACCCCTAATCATTCTAGAAATGGCACACAAGATAATTCAAACCAACTCTCTCTCTGAGAACTGAAAAAAGTTGGAGGAAAAAAATCCACATTTGTTTGAAACACATTTGTTAGCATCAGAGAGCTAACGAGGCTATAAAGAATTACAGTCTGAGATCCTGGAGAAGGTAATTACAGATAGAGCACTAATTTTCCATTTAGATATTGAGAAACGGAGCAGTTTTTCTAATAAAAACAGTTTAGGGTATCCTTCAAGAAGGGAGGGGTATGGGCAACCCTCCCCAAATATAAGACCAGGACTTGGAAAGACCGTACTCTAGGAATAAGAAAAAGAATAGGAAATAGACTAGTTCTTTCAGGAGGTGAATCCCACCTTGAAATCATCTTAATCTCTGATTACATTACAGTGATATGGAACAGCTACAAATCATGTCAGAAGCAAATATAAATCTATTCTAGAGGAAGATAACATCATCCTGAGTCTCCAGTTATCTCTCTAAATTTTAATATACAATGTTTGGCATGTAATAAAATAAGACAATATGATAACAATCTGAAACAGCCTACAGAGATCAATCCTGAGGGAATCTAAATAATGAAGTTATCAGCATTATTTAAATAAATGTTTAATGTATTCAAAGAAAAATGACAAGGTTGAAAATTTTTGACAGAGAACTGGAAACTACATAAAGTAACAAAATGAAGACCCTAGAACACAAAAATACAGTATTTAAAAGTAAGAACTAATGGGTAGACATAAGAGCATCGTAGAAATGACTGAAGAGAGAATGCTGAATAGGAAAATACCCAGAATGAAGCACAGTCACCACTCCCCAAACACATAATGTAAAGCACAAAGGAGATTAAGAGACCTACAAGATACAGTAAAAAAAAAAAGACTAAAGAGGCAGAATGGAATAGAAGCAATATCTAGGAGATAACTGGGAACATTCCAAAACTTACAAAAAAAGTCTTAAAAGAAGCTAGAGGAAGAAGACACAATACTTTCAAAGGAGTAGCAATAAGAGATACAAATGGAAGCCAAAAGACAAGGGAATGATATTTTCAATGGGCTGAAAGAAAATAACTGCTCATCTAAAATTCAATACAGAAAAATATCTTTCAAAAGTAAAAGTAAAATAAAGAATTTTCTGACAAAGAAAAACTGAGAAAATTCATTATCAACTGATACTAAGAGAAGTATATTCTTCAGGCACAAGGCAAATAATCCCAGATGGGAGAATGGGGATAGAAGGAGGAATGAAAAACAATGAAAGAGTAATTAATTGGATAAATCCAGCTGAGTGTTGGCTATAAATAATCTTGCAATATATTTGAAATTTAGAGAAAATAAAAATATCCAATAATAGAACATAAGTCGAGAGGGATCAAGAGGGATACATGGAGTTAAATCATTCTAAGGTGCTAATTGTCCAGGAAGCAATGAAAATATTAACTTACATTAGACTTTAATAAGACAAAGATTCAGGTTTTAACACTTAGGGTAACCATTTAATGATCAATAAAACAGTATATAAAAACAATTTAACAGAGGCTAAAAAATGGAATAATGATTCAATGCAAAAGAAAGCAAGAGAGAAAAGGAAGACAGAATAAGTGGGACACACAGAAAGAGGAGTGAGATGGTAGATTTAAACCCAAATACTGTATACCAATTGTGACATGAAATGCAAATAAATTCTCCACATAAAGGACAAAGATGATCAATCTAGACAGATTGTCCTTGACCACATTAATACAAGAATGTTAATGTCAGCAAAGTAGACTGTAAAGAAAAAAAAAACAGAAAGATTGCTCCATAGTGATAGGAGTTTCAATTTACCAGGAAGACGTAACAATTTTACATTTATATCCAATAACATGGTCTCAAAAAGTAAAATTTGCAGAACTAAAAGGAGAAATAATCAATCCACAATTAAGGTGAGAGATTTTAACTCATCTTTCTCAGTGACTGATGGAATGAGCAGACCAAAACCAAAACCCAAACCACCACACCCCAACAGTGCTTCTCAAATGTTAATGTGCATGCCCATCTTCTGGGGATCTTGTTAAAAAGTAATTCTCATTCAGTAGATATGGGGTGGGGATGACAGTCTGAATTTCTAACAAGCTTCTAGATGATGCTGATGCTGCTGGTTCCATGGACCACACATTGTATAGTAAGCACTGTATTTACTCTATCTTTGTGTTTCTGAAAATTTCCCTAACAAAAAGTTTTTAAAAATTGACTACCCACAGGCCAGGTGTGGTGGCTCACACCTATAATCCCAGCACTTTGGGAGGCTGAGGTGGGCAGATCACTTGAGGTCACAAGTTCGAGACCAACCTAGCCTGGCCAACATGGTGAAACCCCGTTTCTACTGAAAATACAAAAGTTAGCCAGGCATGGCAATGGATGCCTGTAATCCCAGCTACTTGGGAGGCTGAGGCAGGAAAATAGCTCAAACCCAGGAGGTGGAGGTTGCAGTGGGCCAAGATGGCACCATTGCACTGCAGACTGGGCGACAGAGGAGACTCCATCTCAAAAAAAAAAAAAAAAAAAAAAAATTGACAACCCACAAAGAAAATCAGAGGAAAAGATAGCTCAATGGGTGATATTCTAAGCATTTAAAGAACTAACATTAATTTTAGACAGATTCTTCCAGAAATGGAGGAAACATTTCCCAATTTGTTTTACCAAATGATTACAACCAAAACCTGATAAAGATATTACAAGAAAGGAAAATTATAGGCAGTGCCAGGTATCACCATTCTGAACAATTTTCACCCTTTTCCACTGTCTTTGTATTTCAGAAGGCTGATCTGTACAGGCTGCATCAATGGGCTTCCTCAGTCTCTGGCTTTTATCTCAGTTTTGCCAATGAAGAATAAGAAACTGGATGGTGCAGAAGAGTCATTCCTGCTTGGTCCACTACATGCTGCACTTCCTTGTATAAAACCTCATGGTCCACTCCTACCTTTTCCCTTGAGGTCTGGGGGTGGTGAGGGCTCTCAAACTACGATTAGTGTATTATTCCTTTAGTTTCCTTCACTCTGACCACATTTGCACACTTTGGAAAACAGTCCCATAATTAAACTTTCCTCAGATTACTCAATTTGTACCATGTGATTTATGATGAGACCATGAGCAATTCATACGCTAATGTCACTCATTCTGAAAATATGTGCAAAAATTCTAAGGCAAATATTAGGAGGACCAAATTCAGTATTATATAAAAAGGCTACTATAGCTCAATCAAATTGAGTTTATTATAAGAATGCAAAGTTGGTTTAATATTAAAAATAAATGTTAGGTCTGGGAAAAAATGGCAGATAGAAGGCAGGACTAACTTGCAGTTCCCACTTGGTTGGACAGAGCGGCATGTGGAGACTCACATCATGAACTTTTGCTCCAAGAACTACCGCAGAAGCATACCAGAAAAGGCGAGGAACTATGAGTCAGCTTGCTTTCTCAGCTGTGAGGCCTGTAGCCTGGGGCAAGTTCTCAGCCCTGCTCATCAGCTGCCTGGAAATAAACTTGGTGCTTTTGTGGGGGCACGGTGGGAGTGAGTCTGGCCTTTTAGGCTACAGGCTGTGTGGAAGCTGGGTGAGGCTTGTGGTTGCCAGCTTTCTCCCACTTCCCTAGTGACCTGTGTGACGCAGCAGTCAGCTATAATCCCCCTGGGAATTGGCCTGGGACTTACACAATGGTACCCTCACCTGATGGTCTTTCTCTACTGACCCTGGTAGCCGAAGACAAAGGACTTAATCTCTTGGGAGCTCTATGGCCCTGCCTACTGCCTGACCCCAGAGCAAGCTTGTATCCTCCCTATACTACTGCAGCTGATACACTCTTGAAAGCGCCACCTCCTGGCTGGAGGCCAACCAACACAAAACCAGTGCACTTAAAAAAATACAATTAAGGACCCTCACAGAGTCCACTTCACTCCCCTGTTACCTCCACCAGAGCAGGTGCTAGTATCCACAGCTGAAGATGGATCACATCACAGGACCCTTTGCAGACACTCCCTAGTACCAGCCAGAAGCCTGGTAGCTCTGCTGGGTGGCTAGACCCAGAAGAGCAATAACAATCACTGCAGTTTGGCTCTCAGGAAGCCCCATCCCTAGGGGAAGGAGGAGAGCACCAAATCAAGGGAGCACCCCGTGAGACAAAAGAATCTGAACAGCAGCCCTTGAGTCCCAGATCTTCCTTCTCACAGTCTACCCAAATGAGAAGGAACCAAAAAAACAATTCTAGTAATATGACAAAACAAGGTTCTTTAGCAACCCCAAAACATCACACTAGCTCACCAGCAATGGATCCAAACCAAGACAAAATCTCAGAATTGCCAGAAAAAGAATTCAGAAGGTTGATTATTAAGCTAACCAAGAAGGCACCAGAGAAAGGTGAGGCCCAACTTAAAGAAATAAAAAAAAAGATACAGGATATGAATGGAAAAATCTCCAGTGACATAGATAGCATAAATAAAAAACTATCACAACTTTGGGAAATGAAGGACACACTTAGAGAAATGCAAATGCACTGGAAAGTCTCAGCAATAGAATTGAGCAAGTAGAAGAAACAACTTCAGAGCTTCAAGACAAGGCTTTTGAATTAACCCAGTCCAACAAAGACAAAGAAAAAAAAATTTTTAAATGAACAAAGGCTCCAAGAAGTTTGGGATTATGTTAAACAAACAAATATAAGAATAATTGCTGTTCATGAGAAAGAAGAGAAATCTAAAAGTCTGGAAAACATATTTGAGGGAATAATCAAAGAAAACTTCTCTGGCCTTGCTAGAGACCTACACATCCAAATACAAGAAGCTCAAAGAACACCTGGGAAATTCATCATAAAAAGATCATTGCCCAGCACATAGTCATCAGGTTATCAAAAGTCAAGATGAAGGAAAGAATCTTAAGAGCAGTGAGGCAAAAGCATCAGATAACTTATAAAGGAAAGCCTATCAGATTAACAGCAGATTTCTCAGCAGAAACCTTATAAGCTAGAAGACATTGGAGTCCTATCTTTAGCCTCTTTAAACAAAACAACTATCAGCCAAGAATTTTGTATCCAGCAAAACTAAGGTTTATAAATAAAGGAAAGATAGCCTTTTTCAGACAAACAAATTCTGAGAGAATTCACCACTACCAAGTCAGCACTACAAGAACTGCTAAAGGAGTGATAAATCTTGAAATAAATTCTGGAAATAACACCAAAATAGAATCTCTTTAAAGCATAAATCTCACAGGACTTATAAAACAATACAACAATGAAAAAAAATAAAAAGCTGTCCAGGCAACAAACAGCACGATGAATAGAATAGTACCTCACATCTCAATACTAACATTGAATGTAAATGGCCTAAAGGCTCCACTTAAAAGATACAGAATGGCAAAATTAATAAGAATTCACCAACCAAGTATCTGCTGTCTTCAAGGGACTCACCTGACACATAAGGATTCACATAAACTTAAGGTAAAGGGTGGAAAAACATATTCCATGCAAATGGACACCAAAAGTGAGCAGAAGTAGCTATTCTTATATCAGACAAAACAAACTTTAAAGCAACAGCAGTTTAAAAAGACAAAGAGGGACATTATACAATGATAAAAGGACTAGTCCAATAGGAAAATATCACAATTCTAAATATATATGCACCTAAACCTGGAGTTCCCAAATTTATAAAACAGTTACTATGAGACCTAAGAAATGAGATAGAAAGCAACACAATAATAGTGGTGGATTTCAGTACTCCACTGACAGCACTAGACAGGTCATCAAGACTTGTTCCTGAATGATCATTCGGTCAACAATGAAATCAAAGTAGAAATTAAAAAATTCCACGGTGGCGTGAGAGAATATTTGATATAATTTTGATTATACCCTAGAACAAATGGATTTAACAGGTATTTACAGAACATCCTACCCAACAATAGCAGAAAATACATTCTATTCATCAGCACATGGAACAGTCTCCAAGACAGACCATATGATAGGTCAGCTGAATTTTTTAACAATTCCAACTGAACAGGAAGTCTCCTGGCCAGAACTCAAGGGAGGGTGTGAATCTGGTGTGCAGACTCCACAGGCTGGGAGATGTGAAAGTCCTACTTGTTCTCACAGGTGGGAGGCTGGTAGCCTGGGGCAAGTTCTCAGCCCTTCCCACCCCCTGCCAAGTAAACAAACTTGGTGCTGTTTGGAGGGGCATGGTGGGAGTGAGACTGGTCATCTGGGTTGCATGGGAGCTGGGTGAGGCCTGTAACTGCTGGCTTTCCCCCACTTCCCTGACAACCTGCATGACACAGTAGAGGCAGCCATAATCTTCCTGGAACAGCTCCACTGACCTGGGAACCACACTCCCATCCGCCACAGCAGCCACAGCAAGCCCTGCCCAAGGAGTCTTGAGCTCAGACACATATAGCCCTGTCCCCATGATGGTCCTTCCCTACCCACTCTGATAGCTGAAGACAAAGGGCATATACTCTTGGAAGTTCTAGTGCCCTACCCACAGCCTGATTCTCCCTATACTACCAAAACTGATGCTCTCTCAAAAGTGCCACCTTCTGGCAGGAGGCTAACCAGCACAAAAATAGTGCATTAAACAACCAAAACTAAGGATCCTCACAGAATCCATTTCACCCCCTGCCATCTCCACCAGAGCAGGTGCTGGTATCCACGGCTGAGAGATCTGCAGACCTGACCTAAGAGATTATCCAAGTGATCAATAAGCAAATAAAATAGTGCTGAATTTATTAATCATCACATAAATATAATCATAAAGCAATACTACCAGAATGGCTAAAACTAACAATATCAAGTACTAGGGAGGATGTGGAGTCAAGGAAACTCCCATATAGTAGTAGTGGAACTGTAAACTGGTACAACCACTTTGGAAAACTGTTTGGCATTATCTAGTATCTAGTTGCATACATGCATATATGATAACCCAGCATTCCCAGTCCTAGATACTTCAGAAATACATATGCATATTAGCACAGAGATAAATACAAGAAAATTCATAAGAATATTGTTCATAATAGCCCCAAATTGGAAATAGTTTAAATGTCCATTAGCATAAATAAATGGTATATTTATATAATGGAATATTATGCAGCAATAAGAACTACAGCTATATGCAACAACACAAATGATTCAAAAGTATAATACTGCATGAAATAAATTGGACACCAAGAATATATACCGTAAAAAAAAAATGACAGAACTAATCTGTGCTAATATAATATTAATTTTGGAAAGAGGTGCTGATTAGGAGGGTATACATATGGGGCTTCTAGTTTACTTATAATGATCTATTTCCTGGCTTGGGTAGTGATTACATCAGGACATTAACATGTGAATACTCAAGAAATCATATAATTACTATTTATGTTGTACTTCAATGGAAATGTTTTAATGTGTTATGTAACATTTTTGGAAAATGTTACAAATTTTAAATAATCAAATTTCAGGGATTATTAAGGCTAAAAAGCACAAAATGATAAAATAAGTGATGTTCTATGGTAGGTTTATGCAGCTTAGTGACACAAATCAATGTTTCTCCCAGCTTAATATAAGTTTTGGATGATGTCTAATAACATACTTGAAATGATTTGAAGTAGGGTGCTGGGCCAAGCAACACTCTATAGAAATATATTTCTAAATTTTTTACATTTCTGCTTCTACCCTCTTTCCAAATCTCCAATGTGCTTTTAAATTTAGAGCCACATTTACTTGGGAATATTCGAGAACAAAGTTTTGTGGTAAAAACAAGGTTATTACCCATTCCTCTTCATGTTAAATGACTTCATTTTCCAGGGAGTACACATGAATCAAAGATGGGTCATAGAAATATTAAAAGATGCTCTCTAAATCTCAGTGGCACATTTTCAATCTCTACTTATGGGTACTATTTACTGAGTACCAATTACATGTCATGTACTGTGATAAATGCTTTACACACATTATCTTTAAAACGAATAACAATTGAGCAAGAGAAGCTATTAATAGTCCCATTTACAGATGAGCAAACAGACCAGGAAACTAATTTTTCATACGGCTAGTAAATGACAAAACAGATGTTCAAATCTAGGTCTATCTGAATGTGCTT